AACTCACCATTGAGGAAAGCATTTTTCACATCAAATTGATTTATATCCCAATTGTAATGGGCAGCAAGGGACAACAAGATTCTCACTGTATTCATCTTTGCAACTGGAGCAAAGGTTTCTTCATAATCAATGCCATAGGTTTGAGTGTAACCTTTGGCCACTAATCGAGCCTTGTATCTCTCAAGAGTGCCATCAGAATTATATTTCAGGGCATAAACTCATTTGCACCCTACTGCTTTCTTTCCGTTGGGTCTATCAATAACCTCCCAAGTTTTATTTTTCTCCAACGCATTCATCTCATCTTGCATGGCTTGAGCCCAATTCCCATCTTTCAAAGCTTCATGTACTGATTTTGGGATTGCAATAGAGTCTAGTGCTGAAACAAAGCTTTTGTGCTGCACAGAAAGATTAGCAGAGGAAACAAAATGGGAGATAGGGTATTGAGTACAAGAGGGACAGGAAGAACAAGTTTTCTTGGAACAAGATCTTTTTCCTTTTCTTAAAGCAATGGGTAAATCATCAGAAGCAGTAGTAATGGGTAAGTCATCAGAAGTATTAACATCATGATCAGAAATATGAGATTCAGGACTTACCAATGGTTCAGACGATTAAGGTTGCTGTTGAGGCAATGTGGGCTGTTCAGACGATTCAGGTGTTACAATCTTCCGTATCTCTGGTGTACTTGATGTATCAGTCATAAGAGGATCAGTCACAGAGGATCAGACATAGACACATTAGGAACAGGAACAAGAGGAAGAGACACTGACACAGGTGAAGGAGTAGACACTGAAGATTCAAAGAAGAAAGGTGATGAGTCTTCTGGTGAATTATTCTCCCCCTGAAGATGAGGACCTTGGAAAAAGGACTCAGATTCCTGAAATGTAACATTCATAGAAACAAAAAATTCCCGACTTCCTGGGTGATAGCACTTGTAGCCCTTCTTATCAGGAGCATATCCAAGGAAGACACGTTTAAGAGCCCTAGGATCCAACTTACTGCGATGTTGTTTATGAATATGAACAAAGACAACACACCCAAACACTCGAGGAGGAAGACTTTGCAAAGTTGGAACATAAGGAAAAAAAGAAGTCATGGAGTGAATAGGACTTACATGATCGAGAACCCGAGTGGGTAGACGATTGATCAAGAACGCTGCAGTAAAAATGACATCTCCCCAATAGCATTTGGGTACATGTGTTTGAAACAGTAAGGCACGAGCAACTTCAAGAAGGTGACGATTTTTCCTTTCAGCAACCCCATTTTGTTGAGGGGTGTCTACACAAGTAAGTTCATGAATCATACCTTGATTTTGTATAAATTGGGAAAAAGAGTGATTGACATATTCAGTACCATTATCTGTCCTTAGTCTTTTGATTTTTTTACAAAATTGAGTCTCAATCATTTTATAAAATTGAAATAACAGTTGTGGTACCTCAGACTTTTCACGCATTAAGTAAACCCAAGTTACACGAGTGCAATCATCAATAAAAGAAACAAACCATTTATTTCCAGAAGAATGAGGGACCTTAGAAGGACCCCAAACATCAGAATGAATAAGATCAAAAGGTTCAACACTCTTAGTAATACTAGAAGGAAAAGACACACGATGATGCTTAGCAAATTCACAAACATCACAATGAAAAGACTCAACAGACTTAGACAAAAACAATGACGGAAATAAAGATTTGAGTAAACTAAATGGAGGATGACCCAAACGCTTATGATGCAGCCAAATTAAAGAATCAGCAGTTGATTGACCATGAGACATGAAGGTGTGATTTGTTACTTTATTTGCGGGAGTTTGTGACACCAGATAGTACAGTCCACCTTGCTCTTTAGCACTACCAATCATCTTCCCAGTGGCGAGATCCTGAAAAACACAATGGGTAGGGAAGAAGGTTACAGTACAATTCAAATCTTTTGTAATTTTGTGAATAGAAAGAAGATTCGTGGAGAGTTTAGGAATATGAAGAACATCCTTAAGATGTAAGGACTGCTGTAAGTTTATGTCACCAGAACTCGCAACTGATGTATGTAAGCCATCAGCTATGGATATTGTATGAGTTCCAATGGTAGGATGATAAGAAATAAAGGAGTCAGCACAACAAGCCATATGATCAGTAGCACTAGAATCAACAACCCAAGAATGTTTAAAACCATTACATGAAGAAATGAAAGAATGAGTTTTGGAGCTCATACCAGTCATAGCCAAAGCACTAGTATCAGATGGCTTACTCAGATAATCAAGAATGGTTCGGAGTCGTTCCAACTCATCTGGACGAAATGCAGATTGGGTCTCATTAGGTGTAGGGGTTATTTCAGAAGAAGTAAAATGCGCTTGACCACGCATCCTTGCCATCTTTTCTAAGACAGTTTGCTTTCCTTAAAGACGAAAGCATAAATTCTTGATATGACCTGTTCTTTTACAATAAGAACACCATCGATCATCTCTCTTAAGTCTAGAAGAGGTACCATCATAAAATTTTGAAAAAGAACTCCTTTGAGAAGAGGCCATACTGCACAGAAAATGGTTAAAGAAAAGCTCCAAGAAGCCAAAAAATCACAAATAAATACCAAACGATGTCCGATCAAAGAGAGGAGCACAGATTCAGAAAGAGGATGAAGGGACGATCAAGATCGCGGTGGTCCGATCCGGAAAAATGGTCTCACGCGCCGGTGAGATTGGCTGCGCGTGGGCTTCACTCGCGGTTGAAGGGGCGGCGCGTGTGGGCGCGTGCGGTGGCCGTCCGGCCTGAAATTTCTGGAGCAACGTCGTCCGGTGAGCACGGTTCTTTCTGGGTCTGTTCGAAGTTGAAAAACCACCGGGAAATGGTCCAATCGTGATGAACAGATGCTGTCTTGTGATGAAGAATAATGGAGACGAGGAACAGAAACAGAGATCCAGTATAACAGAGATCTTCTCGGTCCAAGAGGTCCACGGAAAAAATCTGTTGGCGGCTGATGGCAGCGAGAGACAAAAAGAATAAAAGGTTCTTGTTCTAAAGACAATAGGCGCGGAAGCAGAGCCCTCAGGATCGAGAGCTCTAATACCAACTTGAAAGAAAAGGGTATTTGAAATATTATTGAATTGTAAATAATCTGTACAAAGGGTTCTCTATTTATAGAGAATACTTGACCTAATTTTGACCTAATGGACTTGGCCCAATACAACAAATAAATGAATAAATAATAACCAATAACTAAATAATTATTATTTACAACAAGATGTCTTCTTATACAGCTGGAGAAGTATATATCCCTTATTATTATGTATACATTAAAATGGGTTAATACGTATCCATCATAGTATAAACTCAAACACGACCAAAATCACATGCGCTTATGATTTCAAATATATATATATATATATATATTATAATTTTTCCAATAGTTTCTTCCGATGCATAATGTATAACTTTATGGATGCCGTGGCGCTGAATATATGAAGATTTGTCAATTATTACTTTATCTTATCAAAAGCTTCTTACAAATTTGAAGATCAAGTTCTAGACAACTTCATGATGCCTATTTTCAAGACAAGTTTTTTCACATTTTGACAAACTTGGAATTTTAGAATTTTCAAAATTAGGAAGAGTATTAGAAATTAATTCTGAAATCTCCCTAGAGTCTTGATGAAATTTTTTATTTCATAAAATATTTGTTTCAAATAAAGCACTATACTAACTATATAGGAATGGCTTCGTTTGAATAAGGCATAATATATTTTTGTTTCAAGTACGTTACAACTCTTTGAGATTTTCTACGAGTTCGACATTATAATTTATAAGTAGGTGTTAGATGCCTCCAAATCCATTCTTTATAGTTCATGAGTCGCAGAGTAACAAATTCGTTCACCATGGCTTCATTGTTGTGATTAAGCATTTATCCTCTCTGTACCTCTTAACACCTTTTGGATTTGGATTTTCGATTAAGCATTTTAGTGCTGACAGCGATTGTTCAATTCTCTCAAACATTAATTTAATTTTTTTAATTATAATATAACATTATATCCCCTCATGTAACGCGAGGGGGTGTCACATGGAATATTATCGTACGTCACGCCAACTGGAAAATACAGGATGATTGTCAAAAAGCTGAATTATGACTCAGAACATTAACCTTTAATGTTCAAAGATAATCGTGTTAGAGGTTTCATTTTTTTAATTATTATTTTAGTTATCGTCCTTTATTTTCACGCGATTGAAATTTTAATGTAAAAACAAATAAAGAAATCTTTTTATAAAAAATATGCACAAATAGTATAAAATATAATATTCAATAAATTATATGAGCAACCACCATTCTTATCCTGATACTTAAAATGGTGGTTGTATAAAATAGATACACGTGAATATCAAGAAAAATTATGATGGAAACGTAAAATGGGCATGTAGCGGTGTACCCTGTCCTGCACACATGGTTTGATTACCAGAGTTACGTAACCTATGTTGGCTCGTCCATCATTTTCACCACAAATTGAACGTGAACATCGAGATAATTAATTATTAATAGAACATAGGGTAAAGGTATTCTAACTATCAAAAATTCTTAATACTAACTTACTACCTATCACATCACCATTGGATCAAAGAAAAAACAATGTTAAAAATTTTTTGAAGAAAGAGAAAATGTTAATCTAATGGTGATTAGATAGGTAGTAAATTAGTAGTGAAAAAATTTAATAGTAAAAATATCCTTCCTCTAAAACATGTAAACCACATTTAAAATGGGCATGTACCTTGGCAAGTGCGCAGGACTCGATTGTCAGAGTTATCTCTTATTTTGTGATTATGTTTTTGGTCCCTCCATCAGTAATTCTCTCCCGGGACACACAACTTTTTTGAAAAGTTAAACCGTACATTTATATATCATTTATTCATCTGCACATGCAAACACAGACCAGATCCACTCTCAATCATCCTTTTATTAACAAACAAATTAACCCAATCAGGTGGTAGCAAACCAACCCACTACCCAGCAAGTGAAAAGTGTTTCTAACAATGGCATCTTCAGACACATCTTCCAACAAAACCACCAAACAACAACAACAACAGCTCCCATTGAAATCAATCCCAGGAAGCTATGGCCTTCCATTTTTTGGACCAATCAGGGACAGACACGATTTCTTCTACCACCAAGGCCAAGACAAGTTCTTCGCCACAAGAATCCAAAAACACAATTCCACAGTTATAAGAACCAACATGCCACCAGGATCCTTCATATCCTCCGATCCAAGAGTCATAGCACTCTTGGACGGTGCTTCCTTCCCTATCCTCTTTGACAACAACAAAGTCGAGAAACTCAACGTCCTTGACGGCACCTTCATGCCCACAACTAAATTCACCGGCGATTACCGCGTTTGTGCATACCTCGACACAACCGAACCTAACCATGCTGTTCTCAAACGCTTCTTCCTCAACATACTCCAATCTCGAAAAGACTCTTTTGTCCCTCTCTTCCGCAACCTTATTGCTGAGTCATTCGCTGAGCTTGAGGACCAGTTATCTGGTAAGAGCGGCGAGGCTGATTTCAACGCCGCCATCGGCAAAGCTTCCTTCAACTTCATGTTTCGTCTTCTATGTAACAACAAGGACCCATTAGAGACGAAGCTTGGTTCCAATGGTCCCAAATTCTTCGACATGTGGTTGCTCTTTCAGCTTGCACCACTTGCAACCCTAGGCCTCCCTAAAATCTTCAACTACATCGAGGATTTCTTGATTCGCACGGTTCCTTTCCCAGCGTGTCTCGTGAAACCAACTTACAATAAGCTCTACGAGGTATAGTAAAAAATAAATTCAAACTCAAAAGCTTTTAAATTATTAACGAGAATATTATATTTATAATTTATTTTATTTTTTACAAACACATTATATAATATAGCTAGTGTGTTGTGTGCTGCAATATATTTCACCGTAAGAGTTTATTTATAAATATAATTTTTCTCATTATTAATTTCATATTAATATTTTTTATTATATTTCTCTAATATTATCTTTCTAAAGAATTAATTCAGTTCAAAATTATTATGCTTAAAAGAATCATTTCTCTTATAAGAGTTTATTAAATTTAAAAAAGGCTTAATTTAAAAAGGCGGATGTATATATATATATATATGAAAAATAATTATTTTACGTTGCATGAGATAATTATCTCATGCAATAGAGACAAAATAGTGGGGTCCATTGTTTTTTTTTTTTTCTTTTTTCGAAAAAGTAGTGAATCCCATTAGGGGAGTTCATCAACCGATCCAAACCGATTCAAACCCCGGTGACTGAACCAAAAAACCGATAACTGAATAAACCGAAAACCGAAAAATCGAAAATCGATTAAAAACCGCAAATTTTAATTGGATTGGATTGGTTTTTGGATGGGTTGATGAAAACCGATCCAATATATTAATTTCCCTCTACCTACTTGAGTATTTCCCTAATCATAACCTAAGAATTTCTAAACCCAAGACTCATTAACTCATCAACTAAACCCAAGAAAAAATCTAGTCATATCTCATCAACAAAATTTTATCTTTTAGAGCTTCATATCTCATTGCCAAAATTAAAAAAATTATATTATAGTTTACTAATGTTTTTGTATTTCAAAAAAAAAATTTACAAAGCCAATATATACAAAAGATGTTGCACAATAATCATGAAATAAATTTTAGGATTTATAAAAAACCGAAAACTGATCCAATCCAAACCGAAAAAAATTGGATTGGATCAGATCAGATTTGAAAAAAAAATAAAAACCGAAGGGATTGGATCGGATGATTTTTGCTTCCAAAACCGATCCAATCCAGACCGCATATATATATATATATATATATATATATATATTAGGGTAATAACACCCCTAAATCCCACATAATATTTTATCTTGTCTCTGTTGCATTTTCCTTAAAAAAATTTGAAAATTCGACCCAAAACTTAAGTAATTATATGATATAATTTTTTATCTCATGCAACATGAGATTAATAGATCCATATATATATATATATATATATATATATATATATATATATATTAGGGTAATAGTTTTTTCATGCAGTAAGAGATAATTGTTATCTCCTATAGACTCATTTATGCAGGTGAGATTCACTTTCAAGAGAAAGAGAGAGAAAAAGTAGAGTAAGATCCATGTTGAATTTGTGTTTGTAGGAGATAAATTATTTGTTATGTAACATAAGAATAATAAATCCCTATATATTATACATGCATAGGTATATCTAATTTTACTAAAAAACTTCATAATATTTTAATTCTTTATTTTAGAAGAGGGCAATAAGAACTCGTGATCACTTGATTAGAAAAAGGGTTATACTTATCTTATTTTGTATAAGAGAAATAATTTTTTTACACACATAAAGAAATGGTGAGTTTACCTTTTTTTTTTCCCCCTCTTACTTGTGGGTCTCACTTATGGTTTTATTTCTACAAACATGAGATAATTATTTTCCTACCACATAAGAAAATTATTTTCCTTAAAAAAATTTGAAAATTCGACCCAAAACTTAAGTAATTATATCAAGGTCACATCAATAATTTCTATATTATATTTTTAAAAAAATACTTTCTCCTCTTGTCTCTGTTGCATGAGATAATTATCTCATGCAACATGAGATTAATAGATCCATATATATATATATATATATATATATATATATTAGGGTAATAGTTTTTTCATGCAGTAAGAGATAATTGTTATCTCCTATAGACTCATTTATGCAGGTGAGATTCACTTTCAAGAGAAAGAGAGAGAAAAAGTAGAGTAAGATCCATGTTGAATTTGTGTTTGTAGGAGATAAATTATTTGTTATGTAACATAAGAATAATAAATCCCTATATATTATACATGCATAGGTATATCTAATTTTACTAAAAAACTTCATAATATTTTAATTCTTTATTTTAGAAGAGGGCAATAAGAACTCGTGATCACTTGATTAGAAAAAGGGTTATACTTATCTTATTTTGTATAAGAGAAACAATTTTTTTACACACATAAAGAAATGGTGAGTTTACCTTTTTTTTTTTCCCCCTCTTACTTGTGGGTCTCACTTATGGTTTTATTTCTACAAACATGAGATAATTATTTTCCTACCACATAAGAAAATTATTTTCCTTAAAAAAATTTGAAAATTCGACCCAAAACTTAAGTAATTATATCAAGGTCACATCAATAATTTCTATATTATATTTTTTAAAAAATACTTTCTCCTTTAAAATACTTTCTCTTATAAGAGTTTATGGACAATACATAGGTTAATTTACTTATCAATAAAAAAGAGTTTATAATATTTGATTATTGGTATTATTTTTCTACATGACAGAAAAGTAATATCAATCACGAAGATATTCTTTTAAAAAAAAAAGGTAAAACACAAATAATTTTTTTCTACATGCCTATTTTTTTTTTTAGTAAAACCATAAATAATTTTCTGTTTAATTATTTATTAATAAAACTATGCACTAAAATCAAATCTGTGACCAAAAGGTAAATATAAAGCGTCAATTTATATTTCTCTGACAGGTATTTTTTGACACGGCGGGGACGGTGCTGGACGAGGCGGAGAAGGCGGGGATAAATAGAATGGAAGCATGCCACAACCTCGTTTTCATGGCGGGTTTCAACGCATACGGTGGGTTGAAGAACCAGTTCCCAGTTTTGATGAAGTGGGTGGGTTTGGGTGGTGAGAAGCTACACAAGGAGCTCGCGAATGAGATAAGAAGCGTGGTTAAGGAACAAGGTGGGGTCACTCTCGGTGCGTTGGAGAGGATGAGTTTGGTGAAATCGGTTGTGTATGAAGCTATGAGGATCGAGCCTGCGGTTCCGTACCAGTACGGAAGGGCGAGGGAGGACTTGGTCGTGGAGAGCCACGATGCTGCATTTGTGATCCAGAAAGGTGAGATGATTTTTGGGTACCAACCGTTTGCGACCAAGGATCCTAGGATTTTCGAGGATGCTGAGGAATTCGTGGCGCGTAGGTTTGTGGGTAATGATGGTGAGAGGATGCTGAAGCACGTGCTTTGGTCGAATGGGCGTGAGACGGAGGAGCCGTCGACGGATAATAAACAGTGTCCAGGGAAGAATCTGGTGGTGCTGCTTTGTAGGTTGTTGTTGGTTGAGTTCTTCTTGCGTTACGATACGTTTGATTTTGAGTACAAAACCGTTGTTTTGGGTCCCTATGTTACCATCAAGTCTCTCACTAAGACATCCATCTTCTGAAATTTCATCTCTTTCTATTTTTTCTTTTCCTTCGATTTTCGGAATTGAGAACATACTTGTCTTGTTATAACATACTTGTCTGATTGCATATCAATATTTGGGTCATTACCTAAAAATTCAAGGATACGATATTGGATGTCGATCTTCTAACGTGAAAATTCACGTGATTATGTAATGTGGGGAATCATACTATACAAAGGTAGATCAATGATAAAAAAGGAGGAGAGAGAAAAAATAATAAAATAGATAGTTACAAAATCATAACCGTTAACTTACATTTGTATGGTTGTGATCTTCCCAGATGACCATATCATTTTTTTTTTGACACATTAGAGAATCCATTTCGCATGATTTTGTTTTTTTTTTTTTTTTTTTGTGTGCGCTTGTTCTATGCACTTTTATCCAATATTGGTAAATAAGAATCTCAATTAAATTTTAGCGTTTATCACTTCTCTACTTATCTATTAACGTTAGATAAGAGGAGATAGAATAGCCTAAAAAAAAGGCATTATATTATGAGAAAAAATATTGTAAGAATAAAGTAGTGTTATTACTAATATTATTATCAATTAATTTTACCGTTAGATCGATTATGTTAATCTAACGGTTATATTTATTTCCATCTTTATATGGTTATGATTCCTTATATTTAAAGTAAAAGCATTAAATATGGGAAATCATAACCATACAAATGTGGAAATAAATATAAAGTACTAAAAATGAATAATTATAACCATACAAAGATGAAAATAAATATAACTGTTGGATCAACATAAGTGATCTTACGGTGAAATTAATTGGTAGTAACATTGACAATAACATTATTTGGTTGTTACAATATCTTATCTCTTATATTATATCCCAAATAATAATAATAATAATAATAATAATAACAATAACAAACTCCCCGTGCAGAAGTTTTATGTGGTGAGAAGAATTTTGATGATCCCAAATCATCATTGATTCAGTGATCCGAACCAATCAAAATCAGATAATTATTAAAAAGAGATGAGAGAAGAAATGAAATTTATTTTTTTTATCTAAATATCATCCGGTGAATGGAAAGACCACATGAAAGCCTGTAGCACCCAAAAAATTTCCCTACATGGTAAATAAGTCATGGTAAGTACAGATGCTGTTAACGACATTGTTCTAACAAAGCCTATCTCCCGAAATAGTTCACGAGTATAAATCATAATATATGTGGACATCCAATCAACATTTTCCAAATCTTTCGGATACTACCGCTAATCATATTAAACCAAATTCACGATGTCTTGTCCCTTAAATAAAATAAAACAAAACAAATAGAAGGCATTGTAATTTTTTATTTGCATAGCTATTATATAGAAAAATAAAAGAACTAAATCAAAAATAAAATAAAATAATTAGAATGATATTTTAAGGAAAGGTTCTTAAAATTATCTCCGCACCAAATTGGAATGATATGGAACAGGAATCAATAGTCGATGGAGGTGGAACGAATCGCATAATCAGTACACCTTACCTCATATCACTAGTTAAATGTTGTATCCTAGATATATGTTAAGTCCACCTGAGTGGTGTTTTGTACACTTCATCATAGTATGATTTTTGAATATTGTAGTATGTTTCTTGCCAAAGATTTGTAGCTAACGACAAGTACCATCTTCCCCAAAGAAGACTTTGAATGAATATATGATGCGAACCTCCCTAATGATCAGGAGAAACTGAGTGACATTGAGAAGGAAAGGAGTAGCCAACGCAGAGGACGTAACAGGGTGAAGATGAGACCACTGGCTAAAGGACTATGTTACTCCAAAATAGGCTAATTTCTAATGGCTGTGGACAATTGTAATAATGGGCCTATGTGCTTGTAAGACCCACCGTTGTTTACAGTTGTAATAGTGGGCCTAGTGCTTCGGAAGCCCAACATATGTTTCCAATTGTGTTTTGTTTTTCTGTTTTTGCTTTTATTGTTGGTAGGGGCCACTGTGGTGGGTTAGCCAATATTGTAACAACTTTACACTCTTCTTCCTGCCGACAACCTCGAATTGTTGTGGATAATACAATTTATGCGACGTAATTTTCATCATTGTGTTGTTCTGATAACTTGAGGCTATTATTCTGGTGCTTTCATTGAGAGGCAACTTATAAGCATCACCATGGCAGAAGAAACTCGTAACGTTGTGAAACATAGTGTGATCGACGAATGCTTGACGCGATTAGCATATCTCGAAGAGCAGTTTCACTCCTTGGGAGGAGTATTACAGGAAATGAACTTGAAGTTGACGTTAATGGAGGCGAAGTTAGATTAGAATCAGAAATACAATATCGAACGCAGCTATGATGTGGGATTGAGAGTATTTTTTGGAAACAATGTTTTTAAATCTGTGAAGTTCACCGTACCCAAGTTTGGAAAACCCAGAACCGTGGATTCACAAAATTTAACAATTCTATAGGTTTCACAACATGTCTGATACTGATAAGTTGACGCTAACGTCCTTTCACATGGATGACTCTGCAGAGGATTGGTACCATATGATGGATCGAAATCAGAGGTTGACGACATGGGACACTTTTGTTTCAACATTGCGGTCAGGTTTGGTCCTTCTAAATATAGAGATCTGTGAGAAGAATTAGGGAGATTAAAATAGAACACCACAGTGGAGGAATATCAGCAATCATTTCAACAATTATCTAACCAGATTATAGGCATCGATGATATTGCTCTTCAAAGTTGCTTTAAATTAGACCTTAAACCAGAAATCAGTAAGGAGGTGAGGATGCATTTGCCAGAGAATGCTATTGAATTGGCCAAAGTAGTGGAGGATAAGATGAATGATAAACCTCCAATATGCTCTGGATTCCAAAGAAATTTAAAAAGTAAAAACACTATGAATCAAACTGGGTTATTGCCCACTCCTACAAAGGGGTATCCGAATAATATTGGGGCTGCAAAAACTACAATTCTAATCAAAAGATTGTCACATGTAGAAATGATGGAGCAGAGGGAAAATGGGTTATGTTATTATTGTGATGAAAAGTTCAATCAAAACTATGTGTGCAAAGGAAAAAAGTTTCTATTGATGACATAAGATTATGAGGAGGTTCAAAAAGATGAGCAATATTCATGCTATGGGTGGACAATATTCATCCAGTACATTTAGGCTGAGAGGGGTTATTAATAAGAATCATGTGCAAGTTTTTGGTGGATAGAGTGGTCAAATTCTTGGGATTGGAACTTAAACCAATTAATCAATTCAAGGTGTTAGTGGGGAATAGAGCAAGCTTAGGATGTAAAGGGGTTTGTCGAAAGGTCGAGCTGGAGTTGCAGGTGAAGATCTTCTCTCCAGACTTGTTTGTTCTTCCTATCCGGGGGGCTGAAGTGGTGCTAGTAGTTCATTGGCTATTGAGTTTAGAGATGTCACTACAAACAGTTGGCGTTAAAATTTGAGAGAGTTGGGGAGATGATTGAGTTGCATGGGGAAAGACGGTGCAAGTGAAAGCAATAGAATTACACCCTACTTCGTAGGTTGGCCAATTCTAATGTTGTGGCTACCTAGTATCAGTTACAGGCCATTAACCATGAGACATTGTAGGAGAAGGAAGATGATGAGTGTCATAACTCTTTGATACAACAAGTATTACAAGAGTTTGAGGATGTTTTTGCTATTTCTCAACAACTTCCCCCTACACGAATAGAAGATCATCAAATCCACCTGGAACCTGGCACAAAGGCAATAAATGTTAGACCCTACATATATCCATATTTTCAAAATACTGAAATTGAAAAAATGGTGAAGGGAATGCTAGAAACATGTGTCATTAGACCGAGTTTAAGTCCCTTCTCATCACCAACTCTGTTGGTAAAAAAAAAGACGGAACTTGGAGGTTTTGTGTTGACTATCATGCCTTAAATCAAGTAATTGTGCCAAACCGGTTTCTAATCCCAACTGTAGATGAGATGTTAGACGAATTGGCTGGATCAATGATATTCTCCAAAATGGACCTTCGGTCAGGGTACCATTAACTCAGAATGGTACCATAAGACATCCACAAAACCGATTTTAGAACACACGAAGGGCATTATGAATTTGTAGTGATGCCCTTTAGGCTCACAAATAGTCCAACCCGAACACGACACATTTTTATTCGTGGGTCAAGAATCGGAACCACGACACGACCCGTCGCGGGTTAACCCGCAAAAATTGAAAATTTGATTTTTTCTAAAAAAATTAAAAATAAAAGGGAAAATCTTAATGAAACCCGTGACTCGCAATAAGGTATGTTAAAATCACCAAAATTTTAAACTTTTTTTTTTCATTTTTTTGACAAAAATAATTTTGCGGGTTGACACGTGAGTCAACCCGTGATACAACATCACATTAATTCTTGTCATTTATCCAAACCCACACATGACTCGTTTTATTCCGTGGGTCGACACAACTTGCATTTTGACATGTCATGTTGCGGGTCGATCCACCGGTCATGATATGTTTTGCCACTCATAATTTTTGTGTGAATGCTTTTGCAATCAATTGACAACTCACCATCACTTTATTTCCTAATACTTTTATTATCTAGGAGGCACACACCAAAATGATCATTGACAAGGGTAGCAAATCGGAGATATTTACGTTCTTGATGAACAAATTCACCAAACACATTTGTTGAATCCTTCCTCTGTTTCTTTTGTTAATGTCATATATGTACACCTTTGGCATAATAGACGGTAACATTTGTCTAATTAATGCTTAGTTAATATCGGAGATAAGCTACATTGTAATGTTTCATCTATGAATATTACAATGCCTTGTTCCATTTGTCCTCTAGCTAAGCAATGGAAGCTTGATTTTGTTTCTCACAACTTATTTGCTTTTCCTTTTGATCTTTTTCACTATGAGACAACGGGGCCATTCATGAACCTTGCTATTTAGGTCATCAATATTTCCTAACCTTGGTGGCTGATTGTACTCGCTTCACGTGGGCTTTTCTCCATAAGCACTTAAGCAGGAGTGCGATGTTCTTCATATTATTCCAAAGTTCTTCACCATGATGTAGACTCAGTTTGGCAAATAGATAACTCAATTCAGATATGATAATGCAAAGGAGTTAGGCTTCATTGATTTTTTGCTGCCCATGGTGCTTTGTATCAATTTTCTTGCATAGAGAAACGTCAATAGTCAATAGCATTCTATCGTAAAACAAAACACTAGCATCTCTTGAATGTGGCACGGGGTTATATTTCCATTCTCGAATTTCTCTTTTATGGTCTAATTGTTGTTTTTCTCTTCAACAAGATAACTTATCCCTTGTTTGGTAATCATACTTTGTATGAACTTTTCTTTGACAAATACGTAGATTATTTTTTTGATTTGAGTGTTTGGTTGTTTAGCCTTTGCTTCAACTCACTCAGCTCATAGACACAAGTTTCAGACCCTTGCACGTGCAAATTTTTTTTTTTTTTTAGAGTTAACACAAATCTAATTATCTCTTTGAGACAAGTTGGCTCTCCCGGTATCCTCACAAGCTTCGACTCTTTGAGTCGGGTTATGTGTAACCCCCGTCTGCAGCCGGTTAATTAACATTCATATGATAGTAAGCGCAGCATGCTCAACTTAATTAACGAGGAAGCTAACTATATTAATTTTCTCTTTTTTCTTATGTATTGCAAACATTTTCACTTCCATAGCTAAAATAAAACGGACAACATTTCCTCTGTATTTTGGACCACTGGGGATAATTCCCACTATGATAATTTCAACCTGATTGACAGTTTAATATAACTCAGGCATACCACAGCATAGACAAAACATATTGCTCAGCCATCCATGACCTAGGCTATCTCATAATCACATTGTCTCAAAATAATGTCCATGATGTTACTTATATAATTACATCAAATAAACAAAAGAGATGCAATTAAATAAGTAACATAGACCTGGGCATGCATAACTAACGACATATACAGACTATCGACAGGACATAGACACTCCTTATGCTTTCAAAAATACATGACATGTACAACTCAAAATAAAGTATGTCAGGTACAAATCTAAGTATCCACAAGACCCTGACAATCATGTCAAGTAATATCTCTCATCTGGCCTCTTGCCACGCGATGCCTCAGCACCATCAGCTCTCGTACCTAAAATGGTGATCCCCTCCTATATTGCACCGACACCGATACGGGACATGAGATATGACACGACACGACACTTCGATACGTTAATTCTAAAAAATGTTAAATTTTAACAAGTTAGGACATGTTTTGATATTATATAATATTTTTAATTTATGTAGTGTATATTATATTTAATATTCAATAATTTAACAAAAAAATAAAGCTGAACTTATAATATCCATCAATTTTGCAAAAAAATAAGATATCCCAAATATTTATATCAAACTCAATAAAATAGTAATCGTAATCTAACGAATCTAATAGTTGAAACTCAAAATTCTACGCAACGTAACCTTTGAACATTTTTTGAGTCTTTACAAGGAGTATTGGAGTGTCGGAGTGTCGGAAAGTGTCAGACACGACACGTCAGGAATTTTGAAGTGTCGGTGCTTCATAAGTGATCCCATAACACGAGGTGAGATAATATAATTACCTCAGTAAGCTAGGGACCCTTGGAGGGCTCCTCCACCCCTAAGCTCACTTCTGGTATAAACACAGTATAAAAATCCATGCATGCATCGGAATATGTATGACAATGCAGTGTGCAATAATATAATTATACTGGCCAGAGAATATAACAAGTATGCATTATGCAAGGAAATACCGTCTTGCAACATACCATATGAGGAAACACCGTCTCATACTATGCACAAGGAAACACCGTCTTGTGTGGCACACAAACATACATACATATACATGCAACATATAGCAAATTATTTTCAACATATCATATCAAACTACCACCCTCCCTCAGAGTTTGGTGGAACAAACTGAGCTACCATTTTGGTGTTTATCATTGCAATTTGCTATACCATTACTTGTCTTACTTCTAATTTTTATTAAATATTTTTTATTGTAATAGTTATGAAACTAATCTTTCCATTAAAAGTAATAGTTACACAAATCTTCAAAATTATAACTTTAGGATTACAATTCCTGTCTTCCTGACATCATAAATATAACTCATTTGGGATCATTAGTTCACTTCTATTATGATCAACTTGTGTTAGATGAAGTCCTGTATAAATATAAATGATTTGAGATAAAATATAATTTAGTACCAATGTATAAAAGATTAAAAAATTTATTTCCAAATATATCAATTAAAGCAAATTAAAAAAGGAAAAAATGTTTCTGCAAAAAAAATTTGTCAGCCACACTCACATAAAAGTAAATGAGTCCTATTATAAAGAAAAGAAAAATAAAAATTTAGCGGGACTCACTAACCTTTTAGGTTAGTGTGACGATTTTAAGTGAGTGAGTCTTATTATGAGAAAAAGAGAGAGAAATTTAGTGGGACTCATTCACTTTTTATGTAAATATAGCAGATAAATTTTTTCTGTTACAAAAATAGAAATATTTAACCAAAAAAAAGGTTAAAATAAAGAAAAAAACTATTCTTATGCTACATGAGATACGTTTTTCCTCCTACATATCATTCGATAACTGTGTCATCATTTTTTTATTTTTTCATGTGATGGAGATCATAAATTTATTTCTATGACACGAAATAACTTATTTTCTTTAATATGAGATTAATAAAATTCTAAAATAAAAGGATAAAATTTGAAGAAGAGTAATATGAAATATGAAATATCTTCATAAAGTTTATCTGTTCCTCACTTTATGATTGTCCGGCACGATTTATGGCGTAACGTCGCCTTAGGGCGAGGGCCACGTGAAATCCAGAACTGCACACATTCAATGCGCTGTCTTATTCCAACAACACAAACTAAGGTTCCAAAATGCAAAGATATAAAAAAATAATAAGTGGCAATTTCTGTAATTAAGCGAATGATGCGTGGGCATTTCCGTAAAAGAACTAAAAATAAAAAAATAAAAACCTTTTATTAAGCTCGTCGCTCTTTTAAAGTTTCTTTCTATTTCTCACTCTCGTCTTCGAGGTTCTCATCGAAGTCGTAAAAGGTACTCTCTCTTTCTCTTCTCTGGATCCCTAAATCTAGGGCTTCGTCTTCTTCTCTGCAAAAATTGTCGAATCAGTGTCTTAATTTTCGTTTATCGAAATCGATTTTGAAGCTTATTCTTCGTTCACTTTGATCTTTTACCTCGTATTTTGCTCATTTCACTGTGCTGATTCTAGTGAATTCTTCTCATATATGTGAATGCGCGCATTGGATCTTTGATTGCTTTGTATGGTCTTTAGGTATTTCGTTTAATTCTCAGTTGATGTGCCCATTTCTGTGCCAGATTTGTTTTGTTCCATTTCTGTGCTCTATTTATTGAGTTTGAACTCGCGTTGTTACCTTCCCGATTTGATGTTTGATGTCAGATTCGTGACAGCGTCTAGTTGCGATAGCTGTGGCAACTTGAATGTTGTTGGGAGTGCATGAAAATTGCTTGATTATGCGGCTCGATGTGTTGACTTCAACTCCTTATCTGACAGAAATGTGCTTTTCAGTTTATATACATTCTCATTTTTTATGTAAATGATCGAATGAATTCTTCAAAAAAAAAAATTTCTCGTTAGAGAAAGAAGTCAAATGGGTGAAACCGTGTGCTCAGAGGCCCCGGATTCTTGAAAATGGATAAGATTTGCGAGACCTTTTATTTGTTTTTTGTATCTGATAGTTGGAAATCATTAAAATTCAGCTGAAGTTACTAACGTTGTGATTATCAAGTTGGAATCCTCCCACCCCCCCTAAAGTTGTTCTGTTTACATATCTAAAATGGCATGAAAATTGATATCATTAATAGTTTTTGTATTCCGTTGGTAGTTAATTGTAGTTTTTTCACCTCAATATTGCTAATATTTGAAGTAGGAATTATTGCTCGTCTGTAATTGGAAATGTATTAAATTGTACTCCAGCATGTCTGTTAATATATGATTTTGTGAAGTGTTATTAATCTTGGTAAGCATTTGACCTGTGTCAGCGCAAACCATTTTTGGATGGAATTTGCATCCTCCCCTGCAGAAAAGAAAGATGTTATTGATGCATTTTTCTTTTTCTTCAATTGCATGTTTTCTATGTTCTGTTTCTTGCTGTATTTTTGTTTTAATTTACTCCTATAATGAAGTCTATGCTGCATTTATAGCTTGTAGGGTTTCAAAAGATGGACAACATGCACACCTTCTGGCAATTGGGTGATGAGCTTCGTGGATACTCAAAAGCAGCAGAGGATCACAAATGGTTAATGGTTGCTTCAAAATTGGCTGAGCAGAGACCAAAGGGGGAGCGTGTCAATAACCTTGATCTTTCAAAGGGCCCCATTGAGACAAGGTCAAGGGATAAATTTGGTTTCCAGGAAGATAACAAATTTGACACTCTTAACTTCAGCATGTTAAACCTGGACACTAAGATTACTGAAAATGTTAGCAAAAGCTCGCTCCGAAATGGTGTTTACAATATGAATGCAGTGTATCAAAAAAGCAACGGAAATTTGGTGGGTAACATGAACAGTAACAAGTATAGTGGTAATATTCAACAAAATAAAGAGTCCAACAACAGCAACAACAATGAAACCAACAACACTAATGCAGCTGACAAAAGGTTTAAGACCTTGCCTGCAGCAGAGACACTCCCGCGTAATGAGGTGCTTGGAGGATACATCTTTGTCTGTAACAATGACACAATGCAGGAAGACTTGAAACGTCAGCTATTTGGTGTGTGCACATTAAGTGTAATCTATTTTTCTATATTGAAGATTATGAATCAAATACTTCTTGAGGACTCTGACTCTTTCAATTTTTTTGGTAGGTTTGCCTCCAAGGTACCGAGATTCTGTTCGGGCAATAACACCAGGGTTACCTCTATTTTTGTATAACTATACCACTCATCAGCTGCATGGCATTTTTGAGGTGGGCTATTCTTAATTTTTCCTGAGTACAGTTGATTAAGTTTTAATGCATACCGTGCATGAAAGTATCATATTTTAGAGCTATGAATGATTGAAATTGCATCCTTCGTTTGAATGATATTTGGTTAAAAATGAGGCTAACAATATTCTTCCGGGGTAGCCACTATGCCCAAGAACGTTGGGCGCTATGAAACCTATTTGTATGGCCGAAGAACTAGAGTGCTGTCTGAACAGATTTTTGTCATGGAAATATTATCTGTATGTCGGAATTTATGAATATTCTTCTGTCACTGTTACTCATACAATTATAGGTTTAAATGTTTGGGAATTTATATTAAGATGCAGGGGCATAGCTAGCGATGGGATACCTAAGTCTTAGGATGAAAATGACTTTGTTCAAATTTGGCCTCTATTGGTTTTGTTTATCTCCACTACTTGTGTATGTTCGTCTGGTTAAGAGCTTGGGAAATCTTCTATCTTTTAAAAGATGTAGATACTTTCTTGCTTCTATTTTTTTAAGGAAAAAACTTAATTCAAATTAGTCCGAATAAAATTGAAGAAGGGAAAAAAGTTGATCAGACAAAATGAGATCTAGTTGATTCGCTTACTTTGAAAGTCCTTTGTTGCAGGCAGCAAGTTTTGGGGGCTCTAACATAGACCCAACTGCATGGGAGGATAAAAAATGCAAAGGCGAGTCAAGGTTTCCAGCTCAGGTAAAATCTAGGATTTATGCATACTGAGGAGTCCATATAATTAATTGTCTGTAAGCTGTTGAATGAATAATATTTTGTTGCTTATGTTCGTATGTAGGTAAGAATTCGTGTCAGGAACCTTTGCAAGGCACTGGAAGAAGATGCATTCAGGCCAGTATTGCATCATTATGATGGTCCAAAGTTTCGTCTTGAGCTGTCAGTTCCAGAGGTATGATGGAATATTTCTATTTTCATCTAGGAAAAACAAATTGTTATACTGATTTTTTACCGTTTGTTTCTTTCACTCTCTTGAATGGGTGTGATTTCTGATTTGATGTTGCAGACCCTGGATCTGTTGGACCTATGTGAACAAGCTGGTTCTGCAGCATAAGCAAATAACGGAATATGCAAAATAGTTGGTTAGGTTTTGGTGTGCCAGCTGTGTGCTTTTAGTAGATTTTCCATGAAGCGTAAGCTTGGAAAGTAGTTTGTTTGGTGTATGATCTTGAGGGAAGTAGGGGTGTTGAGAGTTTGAGGCCCTACTAAATAATTATTGTGGTGTTCCCCGAATATGCTTTGTAGCTGTTGCATGAATTTAATACCATTGTATGATTAAGAGTACATACTTGCTACGGCATCATAGAGAGGACTGTTTGTACTGGTAAAGTATCATGTAGTTCTGTTAAACCAAAAAGGAAAAGGAAAAATTGCACAACCTTTGTGGATTTTTGAACTCTTTTTGAGTTAAAATAATTATTGTTTTTTATATAGGGGAATGTTATAATTATTATTATTCTAGATTTACTACTCTGCCTGATTGGTTGTCGTTGGATTAATTTAAAATTGGGGTAATTAATTTTTTTAATTTTTTAAATGTTGATTTTAAATTGATCTAATTGTGATTAATCAGGTAGTAAGAATAATAAGTCTAAAAATAGTTGGAAGTATAACCGTGAGTCATTTAAAAACATAAATAGGTGGCTATCAAAGAAAAAAAAAACATATATAGGTTATCAATTATTGTTTATAATTTTATCATTTTTTAGTATATTTATAAAGGAAAACGAGAAAAAGCATTAATATAGTATAAGAGTAATTTAATTTGATATAATTATAATTTTATAAAATTAAGGATATTTTTTGTATAAATGTTTAAATGACAATTATTTTGAAAGATATGGGGGGTTATATTGAGTGGGTTTTGTTTTATGTCGAGTCAAAATGATCAACGAAGTCATACGTTAAAATCACAAAGAAAGAATTTTAAGAGTGTGATTAGAATCAAACTTCATAAGATTTTTTTTTTTTTTTTTTATAAATGAAAATTTTCGGTTGAAAAGTTATAAGAATTCATTTGGAGGATGTTTGGTAGGAGGGAAAAAAAAATTGGCTGGAAAAATAAAGTAGGAAAAAATACATGCCCAATAGGAGGAAGAGTTAAAAGAGGTCCGGAAAAATAAATTTTCTGTCTAATTTTTTTACATATGGACCATCGATGGGATGAAAAAAAATTTCCTTCGCGGTGATAAAATTTTACACATAACATCACTAAAATTCACCATATTTTTTCGAAAAATTTTTGACCTATCAAATACTTTTTTTTAATTTATCCGGCAAAAAATTCTTCACACTATATTTCGAGCATATTTTTTTTCTGGTAAAAATAAATTTCTCCCTGTACCAAACCTCCTGATTCAAAATGTTATTTAATATGTTAATGAATGGAAATTTGTTCAAATTTAGTTGAGGGAAATATATACAAAGCTTAAAACTGCTACGCCATTGTAAAACATTAGAAACACGAAGCATGCTATATGTATTATTACTATTATTTTTTGTGAAGCTACTATATGTATTATCAAATCAGTAAAAGGTACGTTACATTCTAATTTTTATATATATATATATATATATATATATATATATATATATATATATATATATATATATGGAAATGATATTGTAACTATCAATTAGTGTTACTACCAATCAATTTCACTGTTAGATCGATTAGATTGATCCAATGGTTATATTAATTTCTATCTTTGTATGGTTATGATTTCTCATATTTAACACTTTATATTTATTTTCACCTTTGTAAGGTTATGATTTCTCATATTTAATACTTTCACATTAAATATGGGAAATCATAACCATACAAAGATGAAAATAAATATAACCGTTAGATCAATTATATTGATCTAACGATGAAATCGATTGGTAGTAACACTAATTGGTTGTTACAATATCCTACCTCATATATATATATATATATATATATATATATATATATATATGGATATGATTCTTTTACACCGGTATTATATATATAGGGATATGAATCTTTTACACCGGTATCAAATTTAAAGTTTGACACCTCATCTGAGAGCCGTTATATCAAAAAAGATTAATGGTGTCTCATGCTTACAAATTAGATTTGTTGATCTTTTTTGATCTAATGACTCTCAAATGAGATGTCAAACTTTAAATTTGACACTGATGTCAAAACATCCTACCATATATATATATATATATATATATATAAGAACGAGTGCGAAAAAGGAATGGGGAAAAGGGAAAGCCAAAGAAACGAAAAGTAGGATGCAAATGGACTGCTTACATGTATGCAATGATGCACGGACACAGGACACGACACCCCGACACGTTAATTCTAAAAAATGCTAAATTTCGACACGTTGGGACACATTTTGATATTAAATAATATTTTTAATATATATAATATAGTTTACATTTGATACATATAGAAACTCATAATAACTCATATACTAATCAAATATTCAAATTTCATAACATAATTATTAAAAAAAATAGAACATTCCAAGAGTATAGAGTGTAGAAAAATAGAAAAATTATTTTACTTATGATTACACACAGTTCAATTACATATATATATTCTTTAAGAAAAACCTTTGATTACAAATTAATTAAAATAAAAAAATAAGATAAGGGAAACTAATAAGCATATTATTATTTAATTAGTTTTTGAACTAACTACAGTTAGTAGTAACCTTGGTTAGTGATGTAACTATAGTTAGGTTGATAGGTGGTAGACTTACTTTACCTTCTGCATCTCTGTATTGCTTTCTTTCAAGAAAACGTGATGTACGACTTTGTAGATTTTTGAATCAATAGAAAATTTGTTCAGTTCTTGTTTCTGATTATTTAGTTATAAGAGAAACCCGACATGAAGAAGATGGCAGTTCTTGTTCAGTTCTTCCTCGGTACCTCTCTCTCTCTCTCTCTCTTCCTCTTCCATTTCCCTTTCATTTTCTCCTCTCCGTCTTCAACATGAAGAAGCAGATCGAACCCGACGACGAAGAGAAGACCAGCAGCCAACAACGAAGAGAAGAACAACTTCAATAAACCAACGTTCGAACTCGTCCTTATGTTGGAAGTTTTTAATTTTTATTAATATATATTTTTTAATTGTAATTTTATTTCTTTTTTACAAAAAAATGCCAAAACGTGTCCAAATACGTTGACCGCGTGTCAGATTCGGTCAAACTCGCGTGTCCCACTAGTCAACGTGTCCAAAAAATTGACCGCGTGTCCCAGCGTGTCCGAACGTGTCCGTGTCCGTGTCGGACACATGTCCGACACTCAAATTTCTCCAAAAATCACGTGTCCGTGTTTCGGAGCATGTATGTATGAACAAGTATGTTAAAATAAAGAAAGTAAAAGCATAAAATTAAATTTTAGGTGAACGCTGGGATAATTCCACTAGCGTGAGGAGATGAGAAGAGAAAGATTGATTTTATATATGCATATATCGAAACAGATTTTATTCAAAACATAAAGATTGCAGTTACAGATTGAAAGAAGGACAAAAATTAAAAGAAGAAGAGAAAAATCAAAAGTACCTCGCAATCTCTCTTTCTAAACTACCTCTCTAAAAAATGGGAAATTAAAGGATGGCTTCAACATTCTGAAGGGGCCCTATATATAGTTTGGAAAAAACACTATTTCTACAGTACAGGTTACACGACCGGAACTATTTCAACAGTGCAGGTTGGAGTGTACAGTAACTACCACGTGCTGCTACAGTAAACTGCTACAGGATTTTTTGCTACAGTAGCTGCCGACACTCTTGATAATTTTTGCTACAGTGCCTGTCGACACTTCTGATTGCGTCACTTTTGCTGACATCATGCTCATGTCACCCTGCCATCAACTCTGCTACAATGATCTTCTTCAACAAACTTCTGCCAAGTTTATACCGAAACAATCGTCTTCATTTTGGTAGAAGTCTTCTGCTGAAGAGGAGATGGATGGAGAGGGAGAAACGATTTTCTGTTTATGGAAAGATTGTTCTGCTGAACTTCTATATAATCTTAAATGTAGAACCTTAACTGACTTCTGGTGGTATAAGGATACTTTCCTTACTAGGGTTTACTCTCGTGACCACAGTCAACAACCTTTCTGGAAAGAAAAATCTTAGCTGGTCTTCCAAAATCTTTAGGAGACAAAGTTAGGGATAAAATCTGAAATCAATCACCAACTGGTGATATTTCTTATGAGCAATTAAGTTATGGATAATTAGTTGCTTATATCCAAAAGGTAGCCTTAAAAATCTCCCAAGATGATAAAATCCAATGACAACTTGCAAAAGAAAAAGCTCAAAATCGTAGAGATTTAGGATCACTTTGTGAACAATTTGGTCTTCCTTGTGCTACGAAAACTAAGAAACATAAAAACATGAACCTAAACAGGTTAACAACTTTAGGAATTTTCCCAAAAAAACTAATTATATAAATCCTAAACCAAATAATAATCAAAATTTTAAATCACTAAATACATCCAAACCTATTAAGCCAACAATTTGCTATAATTGTGGTAAACCTGGTCACATTAGTAAATACTGTAGGCTTAAGAAGAAAATAAAAAACTTAAATTTAGATCCATTTGTTGAAGAACAGATTAATAATCTGTTAATCCAATCATCTTATGAGGAATCTGACAAAGATTCCTCAGAAAGCCTAAATCAAATTCAAGAGGATGACTTATCCTCTGATGAAAATTCACAATCGTCACAAGAAATTAATGTCTTAACTAAAGAGCAAGACATCTTGTTCGAAGTCATTTACTCTATTCCTGACCCTCAGAAAAAGAAAGCTTACTTAGCCAAATTAAAATCCTCCTTAGAAGCCAGTTTTTCTAAACCCAAAGAATTGTTAGTTACTAACAAGTTTAATCTTAAAGATACTCTTAAAAAACTTGAAAAGAGAATTACTGCCAAACCCATAACTATCCAAGACCTCCAAAATAAGATCAATCTTCTCAAAACAGAGGTTAAACAAATCAAAGAGCAACAACAAACCCATAACAATATCCTTCTTCATTTACAAAATCAAGAATCAACAGGAACGAGTACGAAAAATACTCTTCTTAAAGATAAAAATCTTAAAAATGAAGAATTTTTAGGTTTAATTAATCAATTAACAATTCAAAAATTCTACATCACAATCAAACCTATTGCAGGTAACTTTTACCTTAAAATTGAAGCTTTGTTTGACATAGGGGCAAATTCAAATTGTATTCAAGAAGGTCTAATCCCTACAAAATATTTTGAAAAAACTTTTGAACGACTCAACACTGCTAGTGGTTCTAAACTTCAAGTTAATTACAAACTTCCAAAAGCAATCATAGAAAATGAGAATTTAAAAGTTAAAACACCGTTTCTTCTTGTTAAGAATATCAAGAATGGAGTTAT